TCTTAGAAGATCAATAAAATTGATAAACCTCTAGCCAGACTGAATAGGATAAAAAGAGAGAAGAATCAAATTACCAATATCAGAAATGAGAAAAGTAACATCACTGCACATTCTATAGATATTAAAAGGGTAAGTGAAGATTATGAACAATTTTATGCTTATAAATACAACATATATGAAATGGACAGATACCTTAAAAGACACCAACTACCAAAGCTCATTCAAGTAGAAATAGATAACCTGAATAGTCCTATATCTGTTAAAGAAATTGAAACTGAACTCCTGGTCCAGATGGCTCCACTAGTGAATTTGATCAAACATTAAAGAAATAAATAATACCAATTCTCCATAAATTCTTCCAGAAAATTGAAGATGTGAGAACACTTTCCAACTCATTCTATGAGGCCAGAAACCAAAGCCTGAAATATCTTATATATCTTATCCTCATACTGAAACCAAAGACGTTATAAGAAAACTACAGATCAGTATCTCTTATGAACATAGATGTAAAAATCCAAATACAACTTCAGCAAATCAAATTCAACAATATATAAAAAAGATACTGTATCATGACCAAGTAGAATTTATTTCAGGAATGAAATGTTGGGTTTAACGTTCAAAAATCTATGTAATTCACTATATTAACAAACCAAAATAGAAAAACCATATGATTACGTCGAGAGATGCAGAAAAGCAACTGACAAAATCCAACATCCATTTCTGATCAAAACTCTTAGCAAAAGAGAAATAAAAGGGAACTCCCTCAATCTGATAAAGGGCATCTATGAAAAACCTAAAACTAACATCATACTTAATGACAAAAGACTAATTGCTTACCCTAGACTGGGATGTCTGCTCTCACTGGTCCTATTCAACACTGTGCTGGAGGTTCTTGCCAGTGTAATCACACAAGAGTAAAGAAATAAAAAACATCCAGATTGGAAACAAAGAAGGAAAACTGTCTTTATTCACCGACATTTTCAACTAGGTAGAAGATCCAATGGAATCTCCAAAAACTTTCAATAACTGATAAGTGAGTTTAGCAAGATTATAGGAACATGATCAATATGGAAAAATCATTTGTACTTCTATGTACTCGCAACAAACAATCAGAAACTGAAATTAACAAAACAAAATCATTTACAGGGACTTCCCTGGTGGCACAGTGGTTAAGACTCCATGCTCCCAATGCAGGGGGCCTGGGTTCGACCCCTGGCTGGGGAACTAGATCCCACATGCATGCCACAACTAAGACCTGGTGCAACCAAATGAATAAATAAATATTTTAAAAAAATCATTTACAATAGCATCAAAACATATTAAATACTTAGGAAGAAATCTGACAAAAAAATGTAAAAGACCTGTACACTGAACACTACAAAACACTGCTGAGAGAAATTAAAGATGACCTGAATAAATGGACAGATATACCTTGTTCATGAGTTGGAAGACTCAATATTGTTAAGATGTCAATTCTCTTCAAACTGATCTAGAGAGTCAATACAATCCCAATGAAAATCCCAAGCAGGCTTTTTTGTAGAAACTGACAAACTAATTCTAAAATCCAAATGGAAAGGCAAATGACCTAGAATAGCCAAAACAACCTGGAAAAAGAAAAAAGTTAGAACAAGATTTTTTATAAAGCTACAGTAATCGAGACAGTGTGGCACTGTACTGGCACAAAAACAAAAAGATCAATGGGAAAGAATAAAAAATAAAGAAATAGACCCACACAGTTTTCCACAAAAGTGAAACATAACTCAATGGAGAGAGGGTAGTCTTTTCAAAAAATGATGCTAAAACTACTGGATATCCATCTGGAAAAAAAGAGAACTGTGATCCATATCTTATACCATATACAAAAATTAATTCAAAATGGATCAGACTTAAATGTAAAACTTAAAACTACAACATTTCTATTAAAAAAATAGAAAACTTGGGATAGGCAAAGATTTCTTAGATACTAAAGCACAGTAATTAAAAGAAAAAAAGGACAAATTGGACTTAATCAAAATTAAAATTTTCTCCTCTTCAAAAGACACTGTTTAAAGGATGAAAAGACAAGTAACATACTGGGGGACAAAATCTTTGCAAAGCCCACATCTGATAAAAGAATTATATCCAGAAAATATAACGAACTCTCACAACCTAATTATAAGAAAACAAATAATCTCATTTAAAAAATGGGCAAAATATTTGATCACCGAACAGCAAACAAGCACATGAAGACATGCTCAACATCATTAATCATTAGGAAAATGCAAATTAAACCATAATGAGATATCACTACACATCTCCTAGAGGAGCTAAAATTAAACTGACCATACCACCTGTTCGTGAGGATGTGGAGGAACTGGAACTCTCATACATTTATGATAGGAATGTAAAATGGTAAACCATATGGCAGTTTCTTAAAAAGTTACACATATACAGTGATATGATCCAGTCATTCCACAAGTAAGTATTTTCCCAAGAGAAATGAAAGCACATGTTCCAACAAAAATTTCTATATAGATATTCAAAGAGTCTTTCTTTACAATAACAAAAAACTGGGAACAACCTAAATATTAATTGACAGATGAAAGGATAGACAAATTCTGATATATGCCTATAACAGAATACTACTTGACAATAAAAAGAAATTAAACCACTGATACATACTGTAACATGTATGAATCAAAAAATAATCTTGCCAGGTAAAAAAGAAAAGCAAATAAGAGAACAACCAATAGAATTCTATTTATGAAATTCTAGGAAATGCAAATTCCTCTTTATTGACAGAAAGCAGATCAGTAGCTGCCTGGGGACAGGAATAGGCAGGGAAGGGAAAAGGAGGGGCAGGAGAGAGGAATTACAGAGGAGAACAAAGAAACTTTTGGTAGTGATGCATATGTTCATTGTGTTGATTGTGGTGGTAGTTTCATGGATATATACATATGTGAAAATTTATCAAATTGTACACTTTGAATACATGCAACTTATTGTATGTCAATTATCACTCAATAAAGCTGTTAAAAATAACATTTACAACATCATCCAAAAGCATGAAATACTAAGTGATAAGTTTAACGTGTTCAAGATCTTTACACTGGAAACTACTATAAAACATTGCTAAGAGAAATCAAAGAAGACCTAAATAAATGGAGAGATATATCATGCTCATGGATTGGAAAATTCAACATTACTGAAATATCCACTCACCCAAAATTAATCTATATGTTCAATGCAATGCCCATCCAAAGTCAGCAGACTTTTGTGTAGAAATTGACAAAGAAATTTTAAAATTTCTTTGTCAAAAGAAATTTAAAAAATTTTACAATTTTTAAAGAACAAAGAACAAAGTTGGAAGACTTACAACACTACCTAATTTCAAGACTTAGTATAAAGCTACAGATATTAAGACAAACATGTAGATCAGTGAAACTGAATAAAGTCTAGAAATATACATACATACATATTTCAGCTAACTTTCAACAAAGATGCCAAGTTAAATTCAATAACATAATTTCAAAAAGTGGTGCTGGAGCAAATGGACATCCATATGGAAGGAAATGCAAGTCAACCCTTACCTCACACCACACATAAAAATTAAATCAATGCATATCATAGACCTAAATATAAAAGCCAAAATTACAAAACTTCTAGAAGAAAACAAAAGAGAAAAAGCTTTGTTAAGTTGGCATTGGTAAAGATTTCTTTTCTAAGTTGTCTTAGAAAACACGAAATGCATAAACCTTAAAAAAAAATTGGCCAATTGGACTTCATTGAAATTTAAAACTTCTGTTCTTTGAAAGCCACTGTTATAAAAAAGAAAAAGCTAGCCACAGACTTTGAGAAAATATTTATAATGTAAATATCTGGGGAAGGACTTGTATCAGGAGTCTTTTATAACACAATAATAAAAAGATAAAAATCTTAAAATTTAAAATGGAAAAAAGAAGATACACAAATGGCCCATAGCACATGAATGCTCAATATCATTATTAATCAGAGAACAGAAAATTAAAACTACAGAGAAACACTACACACACACTAGAATGCCTAAAATTAAAAAGCCTGACAATACCAAGTGTTGGCAAGGATGGAAAGCAAATGGAACTCTCATTCAACACTGGCAAAATGTAAAATGGTTCTATCTCTTATCCCTTTTCATACGACCCACCTATTCCACCCCTAGGTATTTATCCAAGAAAAATAAAATCATATATCCACACAGAGACTTGTACATAAATGTTCATAATAGCAGCTTTCTTCAGAACAGCCCAAAACTGGACACAATCCAAATATTCCACACAGATGAATGGATAAACAAATTGTGCTATATTCATACAATAAAACAGTACATAACAATAATCAGGAATGAACTACTACTGTTTCACACAACAACACGGATAATTCTCAAAAACATTATGCCAAACAAAAGAATCCAGACATCAAAAGATATATAATGTATGATTCTATTTATATAAAATTCTAGAAAGACTATAGCGATATAAAGCAAGTCAGTAGATGTTTGAGGCTCACAGTAATGGAGGGACTCATAGTGAAGGGGCATGAGAGGACATCTGGAAGTAATGGAATGTTCTATATCTTAATTGTGGTGATTAAATTGATGTCTGTATTTGTCAAAATTCATCATCAAACTTAAAATGGATGCTGCTGCATGTAAACTTGATCTCAAAGATGATTAAAAATAAGCAATTTATTGTTTAAGCACACATACAGATGATAAACCAATTTTTTTTTTCAAATCAAGGTAATGGTAACCACAAAATTTAGGACAGTGTCTAACCCTGGGTTAGGAGGCAGTTAGGAAAGAGGAAGGGAACTAGAAAAAAGGTAGGAATAATGCAGGGTTGGGTAATATTCATACTGTCATAAATAAATAAACAAAAAATGTAAGAAAGGCACCATGTGGAGAGCAGTGATGATACTGTGTCACAATTAATCCAATTCTCTTGACCTGAAGTACAGACTTAAAAAAAAGGTAGTCACCTCACCCATATATTTCCCATGTCTCTGATGTAGGGAATATGCGAATAAATCCACCTCTCCGATCATTCTCTTCCTTCACCCTCCGTAAAACTTTGATCTACATGGTGGAAGAGAAAATAAAATAAAATGAGTACCTATTTTAAAAACTGTAATCCATGTGGTAATAGGACAGAGGAAGAGAGTTATGAACTGAGAATACAAAAGAAGCATGAAGGAAGAAATTTAAGATGCTGTTTTTTTGAGAAGCTATTTCTCCCATGTTCAGTATAAGATATGAGTTGGTCATGAATATTATGAATCACTCACTAATTTTCACTGAAGCCTATGTTAACCCGTAAAGGCCTGAAATGAAGTTATCTTTACCTCCTCCATTGACAGACCAAGCACAGAACCACCTAACTTCCCCGGCACCTTCTCCCGTGCTGAGCCCACAAGGTTTTTCATTTCCGCGTCACTGGCAGAGAGTGGATGGCAACGCTAAGGAGAAGAAAAAAGAAAAACAAAAATATCTTTTCATCACCTTTCTTCATTTCCCTCTAGTCAGTCCCTCAACACGATTATGTTTCATAATATGTATAAGCTCAAATCCAAAGCCCATTTTCTGTAATTGATCTCTTAGCCTGAAACCCTGGGAAATCAATGAAAGCCAGTAAACTCAAAGAAAAGAAGAGAAAATAGAATAGTAGGAAAAAACTCTGGGTTGAGAGAGATACAAATAAAAAAAACAAAGAAAGATGTCCACATGGCTTTGTAAGCTAGTACTTATTCCTAATCTTGGTTTTAGAGTACATTTGATAGTTTGAAAGATATGGGAAAAAATTCTGAAAATAACCTCAACATAAGATTAAGTATGTATTTATTTCAGTAAGTAACTATATTCTTTTCAGCACTGGGGAAGTAAAGTTAGGAAAAGTAAGACATAAGACAAAAACACACAATGAAGACCCGACGCAGCCAAAAAATAAAAATAAATTAATTAATTAAATTAAAAAAAAAAAAAGACCAAGAAACAGGAGCGATCTATTATGTCACAGATGAAAAAGTTGGACAGTGGGATGTTTTAGAACTTGGGGGGGAAATATTGAGATGAAAGTTATCAGTGACACAGAAGAGAGCTGTGAGCAAAAGCCTACAACTTGAGAAACACTGTAGTTGCTAGACTACAAGAGACTGGATCTAGGATGACTGCCTTGGGTACTCCAAGGAGGCAGCCAAGTGGGTCATGTTCCTTATGGATCCCCAAAGATGATCTGGCTACTTCAGCTTCTGAATGATGATCAGGAAGGCTGCTGGAGAACAAAAGTTTTAAGAGATTTTGATGTTCTCAATGAGAGCAGAGAAATACAAAGGTAACAAAGGAAATCAGATAGTATGAAGCATGAAAACACACTATTATTGAAAAAGATGACTGATAAAATAAGACAAATAAATCTGCCAAGTACAAAGAATAAGGAATAATCCAAGAAATGGGGGTATAATTTGTCTCTCTAGAGTCCTGGAAGTAACTCTGACCAGACAGAAGAAGTCCTACTGTCAGGAACCACTGTTTATTTTTCTTTTTGTATACAGTCTATGGAAAGGCTTTTTGACAACTAACTTTTGACATTTTCAGCAATACTCATTGTTATGGACTAAATGTTTGTGTTGCCCCAAAATTCCTGCGTTGAAGCCCTAACCCCCACATTGTGACAGTATGTGGAGATGGGGCTTTTGGGAAGTAATTAGGGTCAGATGAGGACATGAGGGTGAGGCCTTGGTCTGCTGGGATTAATAGCCTTTAAAGAGCCACCAGGCTTCCCTGGTGGCGCAGTGGTTAAGAATCCGCCTGCCAAGGCAGGGGACGCAGGTTCGAGCCCTGGTCTGGGGAGATCCCACATGCTGCGGAGCAACTAAGCCCATGCGCCACAATTACTGAGCCTGTGCCCTAGAATCCGCGAGCCACAACTACTGAGCCCACATGCTGCAACTACTGAAGCCCACTGGCCTAGAGCCCATGCTCCACAACAAGAGAAGCCACTGCACTGAGAAGACTGCGCACTGCAACAGAGTAGCCCCCGCTCGCCACAACTAGAGAAAGCCTGCGGGCAGTAACGAAGACCAAACGCAGCCAAAGGGGGGGGGGGGAGCCACAACTACTGAGCCCACATGCTGCAACTACTGAAGCCCACTGGCCTAGAGCCCATGCTCCACAACAAGAGAAGCCACTGCACTGAGAAGACTGCGCACTGCAACAGAGTAGCCCCCGCTCGCCACAACTAGAGAAAGCCTGCGGGCAGTAACGAAGACCAAACGCAGCCAAAAATTAATTAATTAATTAATTAATTAATTTAAAAAAAAAAAAAAAGAGCCACCAGAGAGCTTGTTCTCTCTCTCTTTCTCTCTCTGCCTGAGCAAGCACAAGGAGGTCATGTGAGCACACAGCAAGATGGTGACCATCTACAAGCCAAAAGAAGAGGCCTGAGAACAAAACCTACCTTGCCAGCACCTTGATCTTGGATTTCCCAGCCTCCAGAACTGTGAGAAATAAGTTTCTGTGGTTTAAGCCACCCAGTCTATGGTATTTTGTTATGGCTGCCCACGCAGACTAATGCACACCTGTACATAAACAACCATGAATGGCTTTACCTTTGGACACAAGGGAGACCAATATATACTAATCTTCAAAGCTAGCATGGAGTTATAAAACAGATTTTCTGATAGGCAACTCCATGGAAGAAAAACCACGAAATGAGCAGATACAAGCACCAAGTGAAGGTAGGAACTTTTATCTCTTTAGCTTTTTCCGTGGTACCTTCAGCATCTAGAACAGTACTTGGGATGGAGTAGGAGATCAATAAATGTTTTTTGAACAAATAAGTAAATGAATAATGTGCTGACACAGATCAACCATGGTTAGAATTAAACTTTGCAGAGGATTTTGGGAAAAAATTTAACTCCCTTCTGATCTCTGGAAATACATTATACAGCACATGTTGGAAATCAAGAAGAATGTTTAAAGATTTAAGAAGAGAATCAATATAAGTAATAGAATCATTTAAAAAAATTTTTAAGTGTGACTTCTTATTTAGCATATAACTTGGAAAAGCCAAAATATTAAATGGATGCTTTGAGGACTTTTGTCATCTTCACACACTACTTATTGTTTGCTAAAAAGACTTATCTACCTCACATGTGACAGCATGGCTTTGATCAGAAAGCCACTGGCAGTAAATCCTCCAAAGTCAAGCTGCCTTATCACTTCACACTATTTAAGAATATCTTGAAGTCCTCTGAAATTGTGAAAGAAGACAATATGAAGTAAGCATTCATTTTAATGATGTAATAAAAATAAAGATTAAGCATCTTAGAATAGAAAGAATGTTATTTAAAAATGCTGATTAACTGTATTACCAGGTTAATAAGAAAAAATATTTTAAGGAATAGTTATTACCCATCAGAATAGTTTTAAGGAATGGTCATATTTATAAGCACATGGATCAAGTCACTACTGAATAACATCTAATGAGCACGTCCAATTTTTTAAAAATTATTTTCCTTTTCTTTGTCCTTTTGTTTTTGTTGGTTCAGTCTCTTATCTGTTTTTTCATCGTTAGGGTTTTTTTCTGTTTGCTTATTTATTGTTTACTTTTCTTTCTTATCTTTTTAACTTTTTTTTTTTTGCTTTTCTAGGACCTAATTTTCATCTTTGTGGAACTGCTTCATGATGGAATGATATTCCTGGCCGCCAGAGATTGAGACCACTATAATGATGCTGCAATCTTCCTCTATTCATCTAAACCTGCTCCCCGAAACAATTAATTAGCACTCCAAAACTCTCGCAGTCATTTTTAAAGAGCTGTCTCCTACATACATTCACAACCACTCTTTTGTTACTCAGTCCACAGTCCTAACTCTAGCCACTGTGTGCCTACCTGAGGGCTATTTGGGTGGGGTGGGTAGGAGTTTAAGCAGGTGGTCCTGGCTGGGGCTTTTGGGAGGTTAGAAAAGGAAGGGGTAATGGTGCTTGTTAGATGAATGCTCCAGCTGTTAACTCCCCTAAACCGACTGTTTTATTCTTTTATTGCCACAAATACCACCAGAGCGCAAAGAAAAGGTCAATGCTACTCCAGAAGAGGAAAAAAAATGTGGCTAGAAACTCCTTTAATCTCTTCACCTATTTACTTCAATGTCAACTATTAAGAAGGCTGAGAGGGAGAAAAATAGGAGAAGTTGTAGCTCTCGAAGTCTAGGTATCTCAAATGCCTCTCTAAAATCCACCCAGGTTTCCTGTGTCTTTGGGGAAGCCAGTGGAAAACAATCAGACTAGAAAGTCAAAAATATTTTGCCAATCTCAGCTTTTCAATAAATTTGAGATGAGAGAATTTTTTTAATCTACATAATATCTGCTGTACTGGTTCATGCAGGAATGTATTTATACAGGAACAACAAAGCATTACTATCCTAGACCACTGGTTGAATCCTACCAATATTTATTAATGAAATGAGCTCTTTTTTTTTTTTTTTTTTTTTAACATCTTTATTGGGGGAAATGAGCTCTTAACAAATGAATTATAGACACAGGTGAGAGAAAAAGCAGAGGGAAAAGGGGAGAAGAAAGGATAATAATAAAAAAAGGAAAAAAACCAGAAATGCTTATGAGTGCCAAGGAGATACTTGGAAATTAAAGCAAAGCAAAAGAAACAAAGGAATCAGAATGATTTGAAAGGCCATCAGGACTGTCAAAAACAAGAGCAAAGCAGTTCAAATACAAGCCATTCTGTGGTTTTGACTTTGGGCACATCAGCTCAGCTATGTTCTCTGGGTAGCAGATAGAATACATCCACATATTCCAATGGATTGACTAAATACACTAAGGAAATAAAGCTCCTCTAAACTTAAAGGGAACCATTGCCCCTGGCTAGATGACACAAGATTTAAACTACTGGGTTCTCAGATAGACTTTAAACTGTCTCAGTAAGAATTCTACCATGCAACATGCATCAAAGTTGTTAAATTATAACTAGTACAACATAGGATTCAGAAATATACCCAGAGAAGAAACCAATATGCATCTAACCTTCATTGCTAGGGAAGAACTGGCTGAGAATGTGAAATTACTGAGATAGGGAATCACCTGCCCCCACTCACAGCAGTAAGAAACAGGTGTTGAATCAGAAAAATGGTTCTCACCCTAAAGAAAGCTGGCAAGTACCAGTAAGGAGAACTGGACAAAATGTAGAATATGAAAAAAAAAGGTGAGGTATCCTCAAAGATATCAAAATTGAGGGGCAAAAAAAAATCTGCTTGACAGAGAACACATACAAAGAATAAAAAGCCTCCCAATGCAACTTTACAAAGTTTAGAATTCTGTGTTAAAAATACATGGACTAGAAATAGCTCAATTTATATGTGATGCATCTTGCCACTCAGAAAATAAAAAGTCAAGTTTAAAAAGCAAAAGGAATCAGTTCTATCAAACAAAAGAAAATGAACAGAAA